GTCTCAGGGTCTGCCCCATTCTGGGATCACCGTCCCAGTAGCACCTGGGATGGCTGGCAGGTAGAGAGCTCATAGTCTGAGTTCCCCTTAGTCAGCTGTAGGGCCCCAAAAGGGAAGGTCTCTTTCCCTGTAGGTGCCTCCGACTGATGGCTATATTGTCTCTCTGGGCAGCCACGGGTAGGCTCAGGGGAGGGGAGAAGGAGGCAATATAGTGCCTGCTGCGCGGCTCGGGTCTGTGCACACGGAGGTGCCTCGAGAGTGTTGGGAGCCTGGTGCCACATCCGGTACTGGCTTACTGCTCACTGGTGGTGGCCATCGCTGGGCTGGTGTTCGCAGGTCTCTCCACCTGCTGGAGAGTCCACCAGCAGTCTGAGATGCAGGGGAGGGGAAACAGCTTATCCACCTACCCTTCCCGCTGGGCTCCGGGCTGCTCCAGTGGTCCCAGCTTCCAGTTCTCCTCCGCATCCTCCTCCTGTGGAGTCTCCCATGGTCTGAGGTACTCCTCCTTCCGACCCTCGTCCAACGTAGGCTTGTCTTCTTGCTTCTTCTAATTTCTGCTAGAATCTCTCATTATAGTTTTAATTTTTATTTTACTAATATTAACTCAAATGAGTATATTTTCATAATATCTTTTTTATATAGACAGAATGTCCCCATAACAGTGTCTACCTTCTACACTCTGGAACCTCTGAATATGTAACATGTCAAAAAGAACTTTTTAAATGTCCCTATAGAAGTGAAGGCTCTCTAAGACTAAACTATGAAAAGAAATATAATGGGGATAATTGGACATTTTATTTTTAAGAAGTGTTCATGGCATTCACAATTGTGCCATCTTTCCATTACATTTGAATAACGCTACAATTTAGTGTTCTGTGTAAAATATATCTGGTGATACAATATCTACAAATATGATAATAGTAGCAATAATAGTAGCATTAATGGAACTCTTGTTATGTCTGATGGTAATGATGATAACAGTTGGAAACTTTTTGAGGATTTACTCTGTGCCACACTGTGTTCTATATTCTTAAAAAAGATAACTTTGAAAATAACCCTATGTTTTAGAAACTATTGTCCTTTGCATGTTATAGGTGAGGAAATGATGACATAAATTCATTCAGAGAATGATGCAATAACCAATCCACATCCACCAGTATATATTTTGTGTGTGTATTCTTGTACACTTGTTGTATGTAAGCATATCTGTAGATATTTGAGATGTGGAATGATTTACTGGTCAAAACAGAACCTCTGATACAGCTGTCAAAGGTTAAATTTTAAATTCTGATTCTTCTTCCTTCTTAGCTGCGAGGATTTGGGCAAGTTACTTATGTCTCTGTACCTTAATATTTTTTATTTATAAAATTGGAATAATAATACTGCCCAATTTCCGGAATTGTTATAAAAATTAAATGCATCTATGGAATATTTAGAAATGTGTCTAAGATAGAAAATTATTGGAATCAAAAGCAAATTCTTTATAAAAAACACAAGTATTTTGTTTTTTATAAAGATAAAAGCAAAATCTTTTATCTGAAGAATGTGAGTCCTTTAAAATTATCAGGCCCAGAGAGCCATTAAAATGAGACAGAAATAACATCCTACTTCCCTTCTTGAGCTACGTATTCTCTTGAAACTGCTTATTACTGCCACAAGTAGATATACATTAACATCATAACGCTGCACCAGACACTATAATGCATCTATAGGTTAATGATGTAAAGCCAATCACTAGTTGATGTTGTTTTTGTAAACCAATGAGAATTCCTGACAAAGAGCTTTCTATCAGTTGACTTCCTGTCCACCTTTTATTGTCTTTAAAAACCTGCTTGTAAGGCTGGGCATGGAGGCTCACACCTGTAATCCTAGCACTCTGGGAGGCCGAGGCAGGAGGATTGCTTGATCTCAGGAGTCCAAGACCAGCCTGAGCAAGAGCAAGACCCCGTATCTACTATAAATAGAAAGAAATTAGCCAAACAACTAAAAATAGAAAAAAAAATTAGCTGGGCATGGAGGCAATAACTGTAATCTCAGCTACTAGGGAGGCTGAGGCAGGAGGATCACTTGAGCCCAGGAGTTTGAAGTTTCTGTGAGCTAGGCTGATGCCACAGAACTCTAGCCTGGGCAACAGAGTGAGAATCTGTCTCAAAAAAATCCTGCTTGTAACAAAGTCCAAACAGAGCTCATATCCAAGGTTACTTGAGTCTGAGTCTTCCAAACAGCTATCCCAACTTTTGCACAAGTAAACTCCTTTTTTGTAGTTGTTTTTCAGAAAATAATGTTTCTTTTATATTTCAGCATATTATGGGGGTACAAATGTTTAAGGCCTCACCCAAGTCAGAGCTTCAAGCATGTCCCTCCCCCAGGTGTGCTTTGCAACCATTAGGTGTGTATATACCCATCCCCTCCACGCCCTTCCATCTGCTGGACACCCAATCAATGTTATTGGTATATGTACACTTAAGTATGGATCAGTTAATACAAATTTGATGGTGAATACATGTGGTGCTTGTTTTTCCATTCTTATAATAATTCACTTAGTAGAATGGGCTCAAGCTCTATCTAGGATAATACAAGAGGTGCTAGATCACCATTGCTTTTTGTGTTGAGAAGAACTTCATGGTATACATATACTACATACCACATTTTTATTTATTCACTAATGTATTGATGGGCACTTGTGTTGTTTCCACATCTTTGGAATTGTGAATTGTGCTGCTATAAACATTGGAATGCAGATGTCTTTTTTACAGAATGACTTTTGTTTTGGGGGGTAGATGCCCAGTACTGGTATTTCTGGATCAAATGGTAGTTCTACTTGTAGCTCTTTGAGGTATCTCCATATTGCTTTCCACAGAGGTACTAGTTTGCAGTCCCACCAGCAGTGTATGAGTGTTCCTATCTCTCCACATCCCTGCCAACATTTAGTGTTTTGGGACTTTTTGATAAATATTATTCTCACTGGAGATAAGTGATATCTCATTGTGGTTTTGATTTGCATTTCCATGATGATTAGTGATGTTGAGCATTTTTTCATATGTTTCTTGGCCATCAGTCTATCTTCTTTTGAAAAGTTTCTGTTCATTTCCTTTGCCCACTTTTTGATAGGGTTGTTTGAATTTTTCTTGCTGATTTTCCTGAGTTCTATGAATTTATGAAGATGTCACCAAAGACAATCACAGCAACAGCATCAAAAATAAACAAATGAGACCTGATCAAACCAAAAAGTCTCTGCACAGCCAATTAAACTATCATGAGAGCAAACAGACAACCAACAAAATGAGAGAATATATTCACATGTTACATTTACAATAAATAGTTGATAACTAGAATCCATATACAAGTCAGAAAATATTTTTATTTGAAGAGAGTTTTAAAAAATATTATACATATATGCTCATCACAATCTTCTTACTTGCTTTTCCATTTGATACTAATGATTTTCTTTGACAGGTAAACCTTGATGAATTTTAACCCGATTTGCAGTAATTAGGAGTTCACTCAAATTTCAAGCTTTGACCATGAGTGTTTGGCTCAGTCATACCCTAGTTGATTTTCCAATTTAAGTTTCTTTATGTGAGTTCAAAATGATTTTTAATTGTATTGACTTTTAATCATGAAAATAATGTATGTTCATCACAGAAATTTTGAAATATTTAGAAAAATAGGGTAAGATAAAAGCCACACAGATACATCACTTAGCATTTTGGTGTATCTTCATGAATTTTTTTTCTATGCACTTTATATAAACATTTAAAAACTACAATAGTGGCCGGGCGCTGTGGCTCATGCCTGTAATCCTAGCTCTTGGGAGGCCGAGGCGGGCGGATTGCTCAAGGTCAGGAGTTCAAAACCAGCCTGAGCGAGACCCCGTCTCTACTATAAATAGAAAGAAATTAATTGGCCAACTGATATATATATATATAAAAAATTAGCCGGGCATGGTGGCGCATGCCTGTAGTCCCAGCTACCCGGGAGGCTGAGGCAGAAGGATCACTCGAGCCCAGGAGTTTGAGGTTGCTGTGAGCTAGGCTGACGCCACGGCACTCACTCTAGCCCGGGCAACAAAGTGAGACTCTGTCTCAAAAAAAAAAAAAAAAAAAAACTACAATAGTGATCATACACACTTTTTTGTAATGTATTTTCTGTTAATAAGTAAATCTAAACTCTTTAAATTATATTTTGTTCCTCAGCCCCTTCCTTTTAGGTTGACATATGTATGTCAAACTTGATTAAACCCAGGTATGAACAAAATATCTAAAGGCATTTGTAGGGCAATTAGAAAACTTGTTATATGAACTGAATATTAGATCACATAAGGGAATTATTACTTTTGTTTTGTGAAATGATGTTTTAGTTATGTAGATGAATGTTTTTTTCTTTTCTTTTTTTTTTGTTTGTTTGTTTTTAAAGGACTCCATAGTTTATTTTTATGGCAAGTCTTATTCCACACAGTTCTAAGTGTGACATCAAAGTTCAAGGTTATAGCACAAACCACGTGTGGAGATTTATATTTAGGAAAAAAACCCAACAAAACAGTTCTGCTCATTTACAAACGAGTCAATTATGTAAACAAAGCAGCAAGTTCTGAAGCAGGACTGTCTATACAGCAAGAACCCTCAAGAAGCAATAAAGGTACATACAATGAATCTGTATACAGAGATTTTATTCAATTTTTAAAGAAAATGAGGACTTTAGACAAAGCTTTACCCTATAACAAAGCAAATCTGTCCAGCTTTAAACCAAATTCTGAGAGTAGCCAACTTCTATTTTTCAGCAGCTGGCAAGAACATCCTCAATGAGCTCTACTTTCTATTTTCTTCATCCCATATGGTATAAAACAAAACCAATCTAGACTCCTTGATAAGCATCATGTGGTCATTTGAGTTTTACAAATGATTTTTGTAATGGTATGCCAAAATCATTTTTGTGTTCTCTCCAGATAGCTTTACTGTAACATATAGCAATGTTTATCCTGGTAGTGAGTCTTCTGTAAACAGTCAATCTATATGCAACTGAAACAATCCACAGGTTCTAACCTGGAAATACTAGGAAAACAATCTGGATGCATTAATCACAGCAATATGAAGATCTATCCTATAAAGAATTGATGTGAATGGCTACCCTAATACAAGTTTTACTTTTCTTGAGCCTATAGGCTTGTCATTTAAATCAATGACAGCTGCTGTAGCTTCATCCTGAGACTCGAAGGCCACCATGGCTTCACCTGTGGACATACCTTTTTCATTGTATTTTAAACACACTGAGCCTGGGATTACTTGATAGCCATAAAAGAAATCTAAAATCTCATCAATAGACACAGTAAAGGGCATGTTCTGCACTTTAATTACTGTTGGACCTGGTTTTCCAGAACTAGATCCAAAGCCAGGGGGACCACCAATATGGATTGGGCCAGGGCCAGGCCCAGGCCCAAAAGCCGGCGGCCCATTCAAATGCCCCGGGGCACTTCCAAGACCAGGAGGGCCAGTTCCAAAACCAGGGGGACCACCTAAACTACCAGGGCCATTTCCAAAATTCTGAGGGCCCCCTCCAAATCCTGCTGGCCCACTTAAATTATTTGGTCCACCTCCAAAACCTGGAACATCCAGTCCTAGACCAGGCAAAGCACTGTTTCCAACTGATGGCATACCGGGCCTAGCATCGCCAAAGGCCCCTCCTAATTTTGGAGGAGGGAGTGGTGGCCCAAAGTCATTTGACCCACCAAAATTACCAGGAAAGTTAAATGGAGGCCCATTGTTGGCCTCTTTTGACCCTACAGTCAGGAAGGCATGCTCTTCACCTTCTGCACTGGGCATTCCTGCACCAGGCATTCCTGCACTGGGCATTCCTGCACCGGGCATTCCCACACCTGGCAGTCCCGCACCAGGCATTCCAGGACCGGGCATTCCGGCACCAGGCATTCCAGCACTGGGCATTCCCACCACGGGCATTCCTGGTACTGCAGGATTACCTAGCACAGGCATCTTTAATCCCTTTTTTCCTTGGGCACAGGGATTTTTCTCAATCTCTCTCATATCTTCTAGGGTCACTACATGAACAAAAGCTTCTCTCCCATTAAGTTTTTTACGGTGTAAGCATTCAGACTTACGTGCATCATCTTCATTTTTAAACTGAACAAATGCCTGTCCTAGACCTTGCCCATTGTTATCAACAAGAACATGCACAGCATTTTCATCCACTGGAATTCCTTCTAGGAACTGAAGAACATCCACCTTGGTAATGCTGAATGGAATATTTATAATGTGGGCACAGACTTTGGCAGAGTTGATATCCCCTTCTGTATTTAATACCATTTCTCTCTGGTCATAGCTGAAGTTCTGCAGTCTTTTTCAAATCATATCTATCTTTTCTAGCATACCTTTCTTAGTAATTGGATGAACTTGAATAAAGCGATTGCCCATGTATTGTTTATGACGACACAGAGCAGTCTTATAGTCAGCCTCATTCCTGAACTCTACAAAGCCTTCACCAGTTGCTTTCCCATTGGGTCCATAAGCTATATAAATACTATCTTCCACAATATCCAACTTTTTAAAAAAATCAATGACATGTTTGTTTTCTGCTTCAAATGGCAGCCCTTTCAAGTAAACACAAAACCCAGCCTCATGTGGTGATCTTGACCTTGACCTTTTCTGCCCACTGGGCGATTTTGACCTGGGAAGTGTCTGAGGAGGGGGATGCGTTTGTCCAGAAGGTCCTATATTTTGCTTAAAAGTGATATGGCCTCCAGCAGCTACCCACTGTCTTTCTGTGGCAGGGCTAACTTCCACATAGCGTTGAATCATCAGCATTCTGTTTCATTTCAAAGCTTCAAATGTATCTTGAGGGGAGAGAAACTTAACCAATCCATTCCCATTATTTCAAGCTACATGATCTTTCAACAAATGCACTGCATCAATACGGAGCCCATGGAAAAAATCTCTGACATCATTTTCCATTGCAGAAAAGGGCATTCCATGCACACTGACATAGAGATCATCAGGGTTGATGGGAAGTGGCTTCACACTGTTTTGAGAGTTCATCTGAATAGGGTTAACAGGATTCAGTAGACCCAGAAATATAGGGTTCAGGTTATTGTTCAGATTCATAGGTGCTCCAGAGCCATTCATTCCAGCAGGCAGAGGTGCCACAGGTGGTGGATTCAAGGGCGGCATGCGCGACATGGGTGGCAGTGGGGTCATGGGTGGCACAGAAGGGACTGGAGGAATTGGGGGCACAGGAGGCAATGTAAGTACTGGAGGAGGAACTGGTATTGGGGGAATGGACGGCATCGGTGGTAAAGATGGCCTCACTGGGATTGGAGGAATTGGTGGCGGTGGGACTGTGTTCATTGGAGAGGCTGTGCTTGGAACAGTCGTGTTATAGGTTGGGCTCCCAAAGGAAGGCCCCATATTTGGAGGAGCTGTTCCTATGCTGGCTGTGGAAAATGTCTGCATGTTTTTGTTGCTTTCATGAACAGAAGTGGTGGCAGTAACTACACTGGGTGAAGGATTATTAAAGTTGGGTACCATTGTAGGCAAGTTTACCCTGCCACTCATTCCTGAGCTACGTGGCGGTCCTGATCTACTAGCATTTGCTGGTGGTATATCTAAGTTGGCAGTTTCAAAACGCCTACGACTCAGTTCAATCATATTCTGCATTTCCGTTTTACTACAATAGTGTTACTTTTGACCCTTTAATTGTACCACCTGTGTGCATCATACCAAGCCTTGCATCTTCATCAGTGGCAAAAACAATGAAAGCCTCACCCTGTTCACCCCCTACAATATGCACGCCCCCATCAGGGATGGTCAATCCGGAGAAGAAGTGGCGAATGTCCATGGTCCCCGCCACAATTGGGAGACCTTGAAAACGGATGACCACAGCCATGCTGCACTGAAACCACACACACCTGATAAAACAAGAGATGTATTTTCTTAGCAAGAAGTAGAGGCCAAGTCAATCCTGTGGGCAACCAATTAAAACCAACTTTTAGACTGGCATCTTACAATTCTCAAGGCTTGAATGTTTTTTTCTTAAATGATTCATAATGAATTATTTAGATACCAATTGCCATAAAGTCTACAACATACTTTCACTTGTTTTGGCAAAAAGTAAGAGAATATATACATATTTATATAATGGTTATTTTTATGTCAATTTGTCTGAGCTAAGGGATATGCAGGTAGCTGGTAAAATATAATATTTCTGGGTATGTCTGTGAGGGTTTTTCTTGAAGAATTTAGCATTTGAATAACTCAACTCAGTAAAGAAGATACACCTTCCCCATATGGATGGGCATCATTGAGGGCCTAAATAGAACAAACATAGGTCTTTTTTTCAAACATAGGTCTTATTGGCCTCATAATTATGTGCCAGTTGTCATTATACATCTCCTCTTATATATCTTTATATATTCTACTAGTTCTTTTTCTCCAGAGAACCCTCACTAATATAGAATTTGGTGATGAGAGTGGTTGTAAAGAAAAAGAATTAGAAGCATGAGTTTTCTGAATTGGTCTTGGAGTTTGGGGGTTAACTTTCTAATTTGACTAAATTTAAAGACACTACTCTGTTTCTTTTCCAGTAGTAAAGAGAGCATTGATAGTTCATGGCATTAACCTTTTATTGAAATATGCAAAAATCTGCATTGAATATTCCTAACCAACCAATTCTAGGAAGCAAGGTGCTAAGTAACTCTGTATATATGTATTTTAACATTTTTTGAAATATAATGATGTTGGTTGGTTGCTCCTAATATTTCTGGACATAGGGATGACAGAAAAGGACGAACTCAGGGACTAAAATTCCCAGCTCAAGTATTGCATGCATAAATGACCTAAGAGCTTTAAGGTGTGCCCTGATGGAGAGCCTTATCTCCTGTCAAAGGAAGAGCTGAACTTGCTAAAAATGAAACATAGGCCCCCATCATGAAATTAGCTGAATTATAATGCAATTTGAACTCCCGGCCTTTTAAGATGTCTACTGTTAAAGTTAGGGCATTGATTGTAAAATATTGGGATCCTGTATGCTGAGATGGACACATGGAAAAAGGCATTCATGAAGCTAGACAAACTGGAAGAGTCTCTAAATTGCCAGTGAAAGAGGTCTTCCCACCTCCAGCAAAATAGCATCTCCAATCCCAGCAGAAGTAGTTTTCCCACCCCCAGTGGTAATGGCCTGCTCACCTATAGTGTATTAGCCCTTCCATCTCTACCTGAGACTAACTCTTCATTGCCTAAAATATGGTAATATTCTCCCCTCAGGCAGTTGCCATGCAAAACAATCCATGCTGATTCTACTCAGGATCCACCAATATTACCTTCCTTGGCATTTAAAACTATAACAAGACTCAAGTTCCAGCGAGCCTCTAAAGGTGAGATAGATGTGTTACTTATCAAACTCACAGAAGCACAAAGTAGAATGATCATTGCCAGGGGCTGGGGGAATGAAAAGAGGTTGATCAAATAGTACAAAGTTTCAGTTAGACAGTATTAAGAAGTTTGAGATCTATTGTACAGCATAATGACTATAATTAAAAATAATGTATTATCTACCTGAGAACTGCTAGAAGAGAAGATTTCCAGGGTTCTTATGCCAAAAAATGATAAACATGTGAGATGATGTTGTTGACCTAAAAGGACGAAGCTGATGCAAAATTAATATGAGTAGAGAGTATATTTGGGCCAAGCTTGATTGCAACCTGGGGGCATGTATTTAAGTTGCCCAGAATACACACTGCAAGTAACAGCAGTTAACAGTAGATTTTTAAAGAAAAATAAGAGGCTGTTTTCCAAGAATTTACATTAAAATAACAAAAGCTATTGATTAGCTATATATTGATCTTTGTTTCACAAATTCCAGGAACTTGAAGTTAATGGGTGAGGCAGCTAGTCAGGAACAAAATGACTTTTAACAATTGCTCCCAGACTTAAGTGCAGGGGCATGACTGAAATGCCATACTCATGCCTTTCTGAGCCTGATAAATTTTTCATACGTCACACAGCTCATAAGTATCTGAGCTTCATTTCTTTTTTCAATGGATATGTTAATAAGCTTGACTTAACCATTTTAAAATACACATATAAAAATATCATATTGCCAGTCATAAATATTAGGTTTGTTCCAAGTGGAAGCTCAAAAAGTATGTATGAAACAGAATGCAGTTAATAGAAAACAAGGGGAGGATCAAGATGGCAGACGAGAAACACCGCCAGAGTGTCTCTGTAGAAAAGACAGATTCTAGCAGAAATTAGGAAAAAGAAGCAAGAGGACGAGCATACAGTAGATGAGGGCCGGAAGGAGGGGTACTTAAGACCCCGGGAGACTCCATGGGAGGAGGCTGCGGAGGAGAACTAGAAGCTGAGACAGCCAGAGCAGCCCGAGACCAGCAGGAAGGGTAGGTGGATATGCCTTTTCCCCTCCCATGCATTTGGGACTGCTGGTGGGCTCCCCAGCGGGTGGAGAGACCTGTGGACTCCAGCCCAGAGACTGCCGCCGCCAGCTAGCAGTGAGCCTGTAGCGGACGCCGCACCAGGCTCTCAACTTCCTCCAGGCACCTCCGTGTGCACAGACCCAAGCCACGCGGCAGGTGCCATATTGCCTCCTTCTTCCCTCCACCGACGCTACCAGCAGGTGCCAGAGACATAATACAGCCACCAGCTGGAGGCACCTCCAGGGAACGGGACCTTCCCTTTTGGGACCCTACAGCTGACTAAGGGGAACTCAGACTGTGAGCTTCCTGCCCGAGAGCCCTCCCAGGTGTTAAAGGCACGGTGTTCCCAGGAGAAAGGTGCAGACTCAGAGGCTGAGAGACATAGACCCAGCTTGGGCTCCCTGTGGGTGAATTGGGACCAGAACTCCTCTCCCTGGTGGGGATACAGTTTGAACTCTGGGACCCAGAGGTCGGACCTGCAGATGAGATCCCTTGCATGGAGGTATAGCATTGCCCAGGGGACAGAAGGGATATACGTGAATAGCCTGCTGAGGTGTGTGTGCCTTCAGGGGCAGATCAGCACCATAGAGGGCAATGTTCCTCCCAAAAGGAGGCCTTATGCCCAGCCGAGTTGGCGGTCCTGCACAGGGAACCTCCCCGCCGGAATCACAGTACGGAGAGTCCTGGTGGCATGTGGTCTGGCCTGCTGACAGAGGCCCAGGAGTAGTTGCGGAGTTGGGGAGGGTGGAAAGAAGCCAGGCCCACTCCAGACTGTGGGTCTTAGACAGCCCCACTTTCACACACAGACTTTCTGGCTGAGAGGGGCCATTCCAGCCCCTCCCTGACAGCTTTTCCTGGAAGCTGAAAACAGAATTTTGACCCCTGCTAACGGCATAGGTGGAGCCTGAGGGCAGGCTAACCCAACCCAGCTCCGCCCAGAACAAGAGTTGATAACAGCACACAAAATCAACAGCATAGCCTGTTCCTCTAAGCAAGCGCCACGTACTGACAGGGAAGGCATACTGCACAGCATTTTCAGGGCATCCCCTGACTCATTATACAGGGAGTGGTCGAATATCACCCACAGATACCACCTAATGGCTCAGAAACTAAACAATGCGTGTGAATTACCAAACAAAAACCTAAAGGAAAGAAACAACAACTGAGAAAAATGGGAGGAAATTAGCGAAAGAACTCAGGAAATATGAAGAACCAAACGGAAACACACCCCCAAAGAGAAGCACCAGCCCCCTAGAAACGGACACCAACCCAAATCAGGCAACCAAAATGACAGAAGAGGAATTTCATGTGTGGATCATAAGGAAACTCACCCACCTGCAACACCAACTCAATAACCAACTCAAAAAAACCACAAAAAGCCTACAGGACCCAGAATAGAAGTTCACTAAAGAAATAGACACAATGAAGAAAAGTTTAACCGAACTCCTGGAAGTGAAGAATCAATTCAGGGAACTACAAAATACAGTGGAAAGTCTCAAGAACAGGGTAGATCAAACAGAAGAAAGAATCTCAGAGATTGAAGATAACACCCACCAACTAAATAAAACCATCACAGAGATAGAGCAGAGAAACAAGAGAAAAGAACAAAGCCTACAACAGATGTGGGATTATGTGAAGAAACCTAATGTGAGGGTCATAGGGTTACCAGAAGGGGAAGAAGACAACACTCAGGGGTTGGACAAGCTATTTGAAGATATAATAGAGGAACATTTCCCAGGCCTTGCTCAAAATCTCAATATATAAGTTCATGAAGCTCAGAGGACCCCTGGGAGATTCAATGCAAACAGGAAGACGTCACGAAATGCAGTCATCAGACTTACCAAAATATCAACTAAAGAGGCCCTTCTAAGAGCTATAAGAAGAAAGAAGCAAGTGACATACAAAGGAAAGCCAATTCGAATAACACCAGACTTCTCTAATGAGACATTACAAGCGAGAAGAGATTGGGGCCCCATTCTCACTCTTCTGAAACAAAACAATGCCCAGCCTAGAATCTTATTCCATGAAACACTAAGCTTCGTATATGAAGGAGAAATAAAAACATTCTCAGACAAGCAAAGCCTCAGAGAATTCACCAAGACAAGACCAGCCCGAAAAGAAGTACTCAAAACAGTGTTATGCGTGGACACCATAATAAAAACTCACGAATATAAAAAAACCCAAACCCAAAGATTAAAGGCCAGATAATACAATGGCTCAAGAGAAAAATCAAAGCAACAACATCCAATCCAAAAGAATGACCAGTAATCTACCTTACCTATCAGTTCTCTCAATAAATGTGAATGGCTTAAACTCTCCACTCAAGAGACATAGGCTGGCTGAATGGATAAGAACACGTATATGCTGTCTTGCAGGGAAACACATCTAACCTGCAAAGGATGCATATAGAACTAAAAGTAAAAAGGGTGAGATCCAGTATCATGGGCAAAGTGAAATCGAAGAGGCTGGTGTGGCAGAGTTCTTAATTTCAGATATGGAGTTAAACAACAAAGTAGTGAAAAGAGCAAAGATAGTATATGAATGGTGAAGGCCACAGTCAAC